ATGGATATAAACAAAGAAATAAAATACAGTCACACCCCTCATAAGGATGTTTTTGTCAAAAAGGAACTACACATACAACATTGATACTATGAGATTATAATGGGGCTGCCCTATACGAGGTGTGCCATTTATAATATTTCATGGTGTACTTTTATTGTACCTTTTCTATGTGTAGATACACAAATATTACCATTGTGATACAATTGTCTACAGTATTCAGTACAGTAACATGCAGTATAGGTTTGTAGCCTAGAAGCAATAGGTTATATGAAATAGCCTAGGTGTGCAGTAGCCTATACCATTTAGGTTTGTGTTTGCACATGACAAAATCCTCTAATAACATATATCTCAGAATATATTTCCATTACTTGGTATGGCAGGATTGTGATACTTTTCATATAGAATGAATCAATGTAGTAGAGTTTTCTTTTTGTTTTTATGTTTCCTTTTAGTCAGAGTATGTTAACAACAGGGAGATTGAGAGATTAAATAAAATTTTAAAAACTGGACAAAAAGTTTTTCTTACTTTACCATTCTGATTCTGATAACCAATAACTCTCAGCAAACTCAAAATACCTTGGAAAAAATGGGTGCTGGGGTGCCAATCCTCATACAGTCAAAAATCCACGTACAACTTGTAATTCTCCAAAAATCTAACTATTAATAGCCTACTGTTGACTGCAAGCCTTACAACATAAACAGTCAGTTAACACATATTTTGTATGCTATATGTATTATATACTGCATTCTGACAATAAAGTAAGCTAGAGAAAAAAGAAGTCACTAAAAAAATCATAAAGAAGAGAAAATATATTTACTATTCATTAAACAAAAGTGGATTATCATAAAGGTCTTTACCCTCATTATTGTCATATTGAATAGGCCGAAGAGGAGAAAGAAGTGGAGGAGTTGGTCTTAGTGTCTCAAGCATGGCAGAGGCAGAAGAAAAATCATGTATAAGTGGACACATGCAGTTCACACCCACATTATTCAAGGGACAACTGTAAATCTTTTGTACTTTGCAGTTCACCTTGACCTGCTGTCTGCCATTGTCATTGACTCACACTGAGTTTGCATTATGGGTAATAGGATAAAATTACTAACGTATTTTGTAAATCCAATGTTCTCACACTGACAAAGCTACAATTATGATAGAACACAGGATGACTGTATCAAAATTTAACAACCTTTCAACAATTTGGCTAAAAGTGGATTACCAATTCAGTTAAATAATCAGTCAGTTTTATCAAAATGTTAAAAGTAATAGTGTTTATTTTTAAAAATTTGCAAAAGTCAAATTTTGATAATGACAAATTATTAAAATTAAGATTTAAAAGTATATATCCTAATTCTTTTCAATAGAAAATTTAACTCCATCTTGTTTGCTGATGGGTTTATTTTATGCCTAGTCACAGTGTTTGATTAGGTCAGAAATTACATTGTGCTGAGCAAATAGGTCATAATCTCTATGAAAATAGAGATGGTAAAGTTCTGGTAAAGTGAGGGGTCCCATGTCTTTCCGGCTAAAACAAATTTTAGCGATGAAAAGGCCAGGTTCTTTATTTAATATAAAAAATATATTTAAAAAAATGGAACAAAGACAAATATTACCAGGTCTAAGGCAAAATGACCAGGTGTGGTAGGAACAGAAAAATGAGATGTCATTCATCCCTTAGATAACTCTTTGCCAATCATTTTATCAATCATGCACTCCATCGTATATATTAAATACAAAATAAACAGAAACAATCAAATTGAGTCATCCTTATTTCTGCCTTTTAGTATCTTAACACTTGGATTCTTGCACATATTTTGTTAATAATTTATGGCTGAGAAATTTGCATGGTTTAAAACAATGTTAATTATTATCTATGATGGTAAATACAACTTCATATATGCAGAGTGACATTAAGCTTAATATAGTTTCTATTTCACTTGATTATCTGTAATAAATAATTTCAGATTGTTACATATTTCCAATTCTGCTTTTCCATATCTGTATTAACACCTCTGTTCCTATCAGTATATTTATAGCTATTTAACCTACCTGGAAGTTAAAGCACATTTTCTATTCTTATATGTCTCTGCTACTAAAGAAATCACATAATATAAACTCAAACATAAGTTTAATATTAAAATGCATGCAGTAAGATGCTAGTGATGTGACTTATAAATAAACAATTCCACAGGTAACCTTATGTGTTATGCTCTATTAAGCCTATATAATTTGATTTGATTTGAAGTAAAACAACTGCCGTGGCATAGTTCATATGGAAAGAGTTGTTAGTTCATTTCTGGAACAACAGATGATTGCATTTTTTTTTTTTTTCTTTTTTGGTCTTTAGAAACTCATCTTTGAATGGACAATTGTAAACATCATCTATACACTTCTTTTTTTTTTTTTAGACAGAGCCTAGCTCTGTTGCCCAGGCTGGAGTGCAGTGGGACAACCTCAGTGCAATCTCCAACTCCTGGTCTTAAGTGATTCTTATGCCTCAGCCTCCTGAGTAGCTGGGATTACAGATGTGCACCACTATGCCCGGCTAATTTTTGTATTTTTTGTAGAGATAGGTATTGCCGTGTTGGCCAGGCTGGTCTCAAACTCCTGACCTCAAACAATCTGCCCACCTCGGCCTCCCAAAGTGCTGGGATTACAGGTGTGACCCACCGCCCCCGTCTGTATACTTTTAACAAATAATCAACTTTACATTACCCTTGTCAGGCCCTGTATTTAAAAATGTATATGGGCCAGGAGCTGAAAATCACTGTGGAAAATTCCATAGGCCAGTTTAGTATTGCAAAATACCGACTGATTAAAATGTTATTCTATAATACGTATAAAAGAAAAAAGTAAAAACAATTTTAGGTCCAAAAACAAGATAAAAGAGAAAAGTTGAAGGGTGGGGTTGAAGCATTATGCTTTCTGGTGCTGCACATGTTGGTAGCAACAAATATGATACCGCAGTACTAAATGTGGTTTCAAAATAAGTCAGTAACAAGGTTCATTGCATGCATGTATGTCTAAATTGAGATTATTTGATTTTGAAAATACGTTGAAAACCCCCCAAAAAATCCCTCTGTCGACCACTACCAAATCTACTGTGTATATGAGGCTGCAGGCCTAACAAAATACCTTACCTCATCATCAGGAGCTTTACCAGTTCATCTGTTGGATGGATCCATAAGATCCTTGTTATCACCATAGAAGCCTAGAATACAATCTAAGACCTTTAGGTTGATGGGAGTGCCAGGGGCTGGATGGAAGCAAATGCAAAACAACCAACACGGAATGAAGACCACAAAAGGAAAGGGGAAAACAAAACAACACATCATCAAAGAATATGAACAATCCCTAGTCAAAATTCTAAAACTTGCAGAAAAATAGAATATTAGGAAAGGCAAAAACATCAATTATAATATTAATTTACTTCAAATATTTATAAAGAAATATGTCCATAAAAATAGAATATTAAATGTTAAATATTATAACAAAGAGACACATGAAATGAGAACTGTTGCACATGAGACATTAGTACATTTGATATCCAGAAATTAAAATATAGAGAAAACTGACCAGGCATGGTGGCTCATGCCTACAATCTCAGCACTTTGGGAGGCCGAGGCAGGTGGATCACTTGAGGTCAGGAGTTGGAGACCAGCCTGGCCAACATGGTGAAACCCTGTTTTATCTCTACTAAAAATACAAAAATTAGCCAGGCACGGTGGTGGGCACCTGTAGTCCCAGCTACTTGAGAGGCTGAGGCAGGAGAATTGCTTGAACCCAGAAGGCAGAGGTTGCAGGGGGCAGAGATCGTGCCTCTGCATTCCAGCCTAGGCAACAGAGACTCTATCTCAAAAACAAAATAAAACAAAAATAAAAAAATAAAATACAGAAAAAACAGAGAGGTAGTCACAATTTTAGAATTCTAGAATATGATAAAATACAGACAAGACATGGTTGAAGAGATACTTGGTTAATTACAAAATAAATCTGAGTTTTTGAATAATGAATTAGATTCATACTACTTCTAATATAAAATAAATTAATGGAGAAGTGCTTAGTACATATATATTTAGTAAATAGTAAATGAATAATAAATCCATTTCAGGTAGATTAAAGATCTAAGTGTGAAAGGCACAGAGATCAAAAAAGTTTGATAAATCTTGACATCAAATAAAAATATAGACAAAGGTAAAAAAAATAAGCACATGGAATAACAAGAGTGATATTCCGAATACAAACAAAATTCCTACACTGTATATTAAGTAGAAAAGGAAAACAAAGGAAAATGAGCAAACTTTACGGAAAGGCATTTGCTTTTTAAGTAGAAGAAATACTAAATGCCTACAGATATGTAAGTAAGTGTCAGCTCCTCAGTATTAAGGAAGATTACTGTAACACAACAGTGGAAAGCCATTTCGCATGGATCTTCTTGGCAATATTAAAAGGTCTCACAGTATCTATGTAAAAACTCCCCTGCTGGTTTGAAGTGTACTTTGGTACAGTCAATATGGCGACTGATTTTGAAATAGAGGTCAAGAATTTTATCCAAAATCTTTAGGGCCACATGTATTTCTAAACTTGGAAAGGCAATAAGATTAATATAATGGATATTATGTTGCAAATCCAGTGGCATATAGAGCAGCACCCTAAAACCACACACTTTATATTAATGAGTTAACTATATTTCTTTATTTTCCTCAGACAATTTGGGATTTCCAGTCATTTCTTTAATTCCTGAAAATCTTCATTCACTATAGATAAAGACATAGATAGATGGAAAAATCTGGTTATAAATGTAAATAATAGGTAAGTAATAAGTGAAAGAAATGTCCAAGTACCAAGTAGCAAGCTCCTTTTAAAGAGTCATCTATTAGATATTCATTCATTCCTCTCTCCTTTTATCTCCATATCATCTCTCTCTCTCTCAAGTAATTTAAAGAAAGATGCGTGAATGCTTATGAATGCCAATGTTCATGGGGCGTGAGTATGTGCGTGCATGCATATTACTCATGTGATGGCTATCTATAATAATGTAAGACAGTTTTTTCTTGTTTATTTATACTGTGCTACCATGCATTTTCACATTTTACATTCAAAAGATCCAGGATGGCCAATTCTAGTGTCAGACTAACATGTAGGCTCTTTTACTAACTGGCCAGTCTGTTCAGGTAAAATTACAACTCCAGTAGATACACATTGATGGGAGAGTAGAAAAGGAAAAACAGACCAAAGTGGAGAGTATTGGCTTCATTTCTATTATCTAAAAAATAACCAGCAAAACTAAGGATATTCATTTTTTGAAGAATTTAGCAGTACATCTTATTTTTCTAGAGATCTAAGCTACACACTTTTTTTCTATTAAGATTTCATTTTTTATGATGACATATTAATTGAGAAACATATCATCTTACATCAATTATTTCTTAGTCTTCTCAAGAAGAAATATTGTGACACATAAAAAGTTGAGATAGGCCGGGCACGGTGGCTCAAGCCTGTAATCCCAGCACTTTGGGAGGCCGAGACGGGCGGATCACAAGGTCAGGAGATCGAGACCATCCTGGCTAACACGGTGAAACCCCATCTCTACTAAAAAATACAAAAAACTAGCTGGGCGCGGTGGCGGGCGCCTGTAGTCCCAACTACTCGGGAGGCTGAGGCAGGAGAATGGCGTAAACCCGGGAGGCGGAGCTTGCAGTGAGCTGAGATCGGGCCACTGCACTCCAGTCTGGGCGGCAGAGCAAGACTCCGTCTCAAAAAAAAAAAAAGTTGAGATAAATGACACAAATATTTTAAAACTAGACAAAAGCAACGAAGTGATCATTAGAGAAGTTACAGTTTCTCTCTTCTATCACTAGGATCCACATTCACTCTTGTTCTTACTTTTTACAGAAATCACACACATGCACACACAAAGTTCTTCACAAGTAGACTAAAAAAATTTGATGTCATCTTTTAAAATTTCTGAAGCTGCATGGTCCTCGAATTGAAAATATGCTTATTTGTATTAGCATTTATCTTAATTCACATGTACTAACATATTTCTTAGACTTTGCAAGAATTATCATAATCTCTTCAGAGACTTCATTAAATTCCTTTTCCGCAGAATTCTTGCTTCTCCCTCTCTTGAGATATATTTTAAATAAATATATTCTTTCATAGACATGTTTTTTTCACAAATTTAGAATAACTTTGGACTCACTGTTAGAAACTTGTAGTGCACATCATTAGAAATTTTAAGACAGTCAGTGTTCCTTGCCCCGCGCACCTGAGAGGCTGCTCTCCGACTCCCGCGCTGGACCCTCTTGCGCCACTGAACCCCCTGATCCGGGGGCCTCGGATCCCAGGGCTCAGGAGGACTGAACCAGGACTTACCCGAAGTTGCCGCGGGGCCTTCCGATCCCCTAGGCCATCGCCCAAGTCTGGCCAGGCTGATGGGACCAGCGAGGAGTCTCTGCACCTTGACATTCAGAAACTGAAGGAGAAGAGGGACATGCTGGATGAGGAGATCTCCCAGTTCATATCTGAAGGCTACAGTGTGGATGAACTGGAGGACCACATTACCCAGCTTCACGAGTACAATGACATCAAGGATGTGGGGCAGATGCTGATGGGCAAACTAGCTGTGATCCGAGGTGTCACCACCAAAGAGTTGTATCCAGAGTTTGGGCTGGACATGAATGACTGAGCAGGCTCATCGCCCCTTGTCCACAGTCCCCAGGGACAGAAGGGTGTGGACATGATAAACGCTGAGAGCCCAACCAGCACACCTACAGAGTTTCCAGCAAGAAAATGCCAGAAGCCCTTTTCTAGAGAGCCCAAGCTGAATCAGGAGGAGCCTAGAGAAGAGGCGGGCAGGGAGGAAGGGGCGTTCCCAGCTCCAAGGTTCCTGAAATGTCGCAGTGATACTTGTATAGGGGTACATGTACTTTATTTGTCAATAAACATATCTGTACACTAAAAAAAAAAAAAAAAAAAAAAGAAATTTTAAGACAAAAATAGACCTTATAAGAAAAAATTGAGAAAAAAGTTAAAAGGAGTCTTAAAATTCAAGTCTTATACTTCATTAGTCTTATACTTGAATTTAGGTTTTTAAAACATGCGCTTAGAAGCCTTGGAATTATATCTCACAGAATTATACATGATTATACAATGGGATATATCTATGAAGATTTATCACTTCTGTTTTCTAAAAGAGTGAATAAAATTAAATATATTAGACCTGCAATTAGAATAAATCAATATCTCTCAAACAGAAGCTAGTTAGGGTTAAAAAGTATGTAAAACATTTCACAAAGTTTATCTCACATTGTTATTCCTTTTCTCATTGTTAATATTGTGACTTCATTGCCGTATGTAAATTGAAACCCACTTTTTTAATTAACAAAAGAAAGCCAACAAATGCTAGGTGTCAAGTACTTTTCACATGTTATCTTTTGTTTTCTGAAAGAAATATAGGTTTTTGGCATCTATTGCATATAAACAAGTTTCAATAAGAACAACTGGGATTTGCCTACTCGGATTATTTTTATGGGATATGTCAACATTTCCAAAGTCTTATTTTCCTAAGTATGTCTATTTACAATGGGAATAGAGGACAAACCTTTATATAACAGAAAGAAAGATTGATCAAATATATATGTGAGACATTTTCTGGAGAAAGCCTGATGTTTTCATAAGATAATGACTTCTGAGAGGATAAAATAGGATAAAGAAGGTATACAGGCACCAATTCATTTATCTACCTAAGCATACATACATCTATGCATCCATCTAATCATCTATCCATGCATCCCATCCATTCCTCCACCCATCTATCCATCCATCATCCATCCATCCATCTATTACACAATTTCTGGAGCATAAAGTGGGTACATGACAGAAAAAAATAAGGAGGTAGTGTCTGATTTCTTCATATACTTTTTGTCTAGAGAGTGGCCATATAGGAGAAAATATAAATATGCAATAATCTTTTATGGGAGACAAAAAAATTAAAGAACATAGAATAAGAAAAAACTTAATATTGGGAATAAAGAAAGCTTTTCAGCATAAATGGCATCTGAGATGAGAATTTAAGAATCACTAGAAGCAAAGTAGATAATGCTATGTGAGAAGAATATTTCAGACAAAATAAACAACATGTACCAGTGTCAAGAATAAAAAGAGAGCCCAGTACATTAAAACACCATAGTTTCCTCTTATTTTTCTTTGTTTCAACCATGTTTTCTTTGTATTTTTCTTCAAAGTCTTCAATCACTTCTGTGCTGCATGTGTAGCTCTTTTACTATGCATACTGCTTCAAGCTTATTGTTGAAAATGAATTAGTATATGTACTAAAGATTTGGCTCTAACCTCTTTTGACCTAGAAAATCAATTAGTGAATGCTGCAAAGCCTAGCATCATCTGTTGCTCAAGTGTTTGAAAGGTGAGTCTATGGTACCAGAAATGATTATTAATTAAAAATTATGAGCATACACGGCCTCATGGATTATACAAGTCAACATCACACAGTAATTTAAACATATAGAAAATACATACTTCAAAAATTATGACAACACTATTATAAAGGCCAGTTATATACTGATTTGAAAGGGACTAACGTATGTGAAATTAGAATACACACACACACACACAGATATATATATAAACTTGGAAGAGTTGATGTAGATAATTTTCAAACTACAATGAAACTGAATTTTGAAGCAGAGTATATAAAAATTATTGCTGATGTCTCTATCACAAATTTTACATTTCCTAAGAAAGCAACACCAAAAGTGAAATATATCATATTTAGCATTAAAATGCTAACCTATGTGCTGTTTTATAGTCAAATTGAAAGAAGAAATGTGGTTATATGTAGAAATTTATGTTCCTTGTTATCATTATATTCTTAAAATTCAAATGCAGCAAGATAAAATGGAACCATTAACTTATGAACTTCTTGGTTTAATAAAAACATTCAGGGAATTAGAGAAATATAATTAAATTCTATTGAAATGCATGAGACCAATCTATTTTGAAGATGGGGATAATAGCAGGAAATGTAGACTATTCTCTTGGTACCATGTATGATTGTGCCTTGCTTTTAACCTTTGCAAAGATGCAGTAATGCATAAATTATAACAACATTTTAAAGGTTAAAGTAAAAATCTTCAAACATTAAAGGGATTGGATCATATCAAATTACTCTCCAGTCTTGAAAGCTTTAGAGTTAAAACAAGATAGACCTTATGGGTAAATCGCTTAAACTAAATATAATTGAGACTTTCTAAAAAAACAGATGGGAATAAAAGTGATATATTTTAATAAGAATTGCTTTCTTTGGCAAAATATATTAATTTCAGTACTGGAAAATATCTAAAATGTACACAGTTTGTATTCATTAGCATAGTTTATCTTACCAAATTCAAATGGTTGTTTTCAAATTCAATATACTTGCTTACATTAAATCACATGCTACCTTCTCATTTGACCATATTATGAAAGCTTGAATAAAGAGTCTCCTGAGGATCTAATGAACAATAATGGTATGGCTTAGCATTCTGAAGAAAAAAACAGTATGATACTAAAAAGTGAATCATAAGCCAAAACAGTAAGTTAAAAAATGAATCTTAAGACATTAAGTAAATGAGATTAAGACCAATCTCATTGATTTGACTGACAGACTACATATAAAATATCATAACATACAGATTTTGGAAATCTAAATGAATGCAATGATGAAATTGTTCTACATATACAAACAGTATAATAATACTTTTTGTTTTAGCATTCCAAGAAGTATGGATGTATATGCAAATATATACTGCCATTTATTTAGTAGGTTTTCTTATTGTGCTAAATTGGAGTGTATAAATATATTAGGAAATACTTCTGTAACTTTCAGTTTTTAAAATTAGCTTGCAAACCATTGCACTCTCCTATTCAACATGCTATTGCCTCTTTACCAAGAGCAAACATACAAAACAAGAACAGAAACATATACACAGATGGATAACTGTTAAATACAGTACACATAATACTATATAAGTATACAAAAGTATATATAATTACACATCTATAAAAACAGCAAGAATATTACAACTGTTATTGGAGTCAGACTGCCAATATTGGGATACTGACTCCCCTACTTACTAGATATAAGTGAGAACTGAGGCAAATTGTTAACCTGCTTGCTTCGATTTCCTTACATATTAAATGGCAGAAATATTTATGTCCACTTCTTATTATTGTTGTCAGAATTGAAAAATAATGTATATGTAGATATGAGGAAATAAAAAATAATGCGATAAATGATAGCTATTATAATGTATACATAGGTATTACTATATATATATCACTATTGTCAGAATTGAAAATATATGTAATATACCTTTATGAGGCAATAAGAAAGAATGTAATGATAGCTATAATATATACACAGGTAATACTACATATATCACTAGAAGTAGAGATTTGCAGATGACTTTCAATCCAATAAAAAGTTATAGAGAGCATATTGTTTTTTATCCTGAGGTATTTTAAAAATGAGAAATGAGGGGGTGGATGCTACAATAGAATATCCCATTATTATTAAGACCGTTGCTACAGATTCTTTACATGTTAATCCTTTGAGGAAATATGCAGTACTAATTACAGGAAATTAACTAATAATTAATTTGCAAACCTTAATTGTAAGAAAGTGTCATTTCTAAAACCTAGCCTTTTGCCTCTTATTGTCAATCAACTGTTACATTTAAAAGGATTATACCAATCAGTAATGTCAATCTCTGAACTCCATCAACTCTGAATGAAGGAAACTGTCACTAACAGTGAGATCCTTGAAACTAAGTGTAGCGTCTGGATAATGATCATTTTACAGAATGACTGGGACACAAAGTGTCAATAAATGCTTGTTAAATGAAGTAATTAATAGTAAATTAAAACAGGTACACAATGCATAGGCAATTACTAGAATTTTTAAATATATTACAAATGAAAGAATACTGGGAAAGCTTTACAATATGAACTGAATCTCTGTCAGGTATCATTATTCTAACATGGGTGAATTCTGCTTAACCGTCTAAATGAATTAATCTAATATTTTATGATGTTTCTTCTCAAAACCCACCTGGCACAACCAAGGTAGAGATATTATCCCATTTGATAATAATTCTTCACGTCAGGCCTCTGAGCCCAAGTCAAGCCATCGCATCCCCTGTGACTTGCACGTATTCGCCCAGATGGCCTGAAGTAACTGAAGAATCACAAAAGAAGTGCAAATGCCCTGCCTCGCACCACAAAAGTGAAAATGGCCAGTCCTTGCCTTAAGCGATGATATTATCTTGTGAAATTCCTTTTCCTGGCTCATCCTGGCTCAAAAAGCTCCCCCACTGAGAACCTTGTGACCCCCACTCCTGCCTGCCAGAGAACAACCCCCTTTGACTGCAATTTTCCTTTACCTACCCAAATCCTATAAAACAGTCCCACCCTTATGCTGACTCTCTTTTCTGACTCAGCCCGCCTGCACCCACGTGAAATAAACAGCCATGTTGCTCACACAAAGCCTGTTTGGTGGTCTCTTCACACGGATGCGCATGACATTTTGGTGCCTTGACTCAGATCAGGGTACCTCCCTTGGGAGATCAATCCCCTGTCCTCCTGCTCTTTGCTCCATGAGAAAGATCCACCCACGACCTCTGGTCCTCAGACCCACCAGCCCAAGGAACAGCTCACCAATTTTAAATCGGGTAAGTGGCCTCTTTTTGCTCTCTTCAACCTCTCTCACTCTCTCTTAACCTCTTTCTCCTTTCAATCTTGGCACCACCCTTCAATCTCTCCCTTCTCTTAATTTCAATTCCTTTCATTTTCTGGTTAGAGACAAAGGATTTGTCTCTAACCAGAAAATGAAACACGTTTTATCCATGGAACCCAAAATGCCGGCGCCGGTCACGGACTGGGGAAGGCAGCCTTCCCTTGG